CTATGGCAGGAGTTTTGTACCTTCCATAGTGTCCTTAAACAAGGCATCCTGTTAACAGCCGTGAGCGAGTGCCTCGCACAGGACGGGGGGGATAAATGTTTATTCTTGTTATTATGACGTTGTATCTATATACATAGATATGTTATGATTATTACCCACTACTGCTACACCACACTGATGAGCAGACACACACACAGACAAACACACACACACACTCTATCACCACAATTAACCCTTCCTGAGCCACGCCCCTTCCTCCATCACTTTCTGTCTTTCCTGTACATAGATATGCTATGTGCTAGGCTATGTTGAAAAGACAACCACATGTATATAGTCATATCTTAAAAGTCATTCTGAAGAAAGATGATTGTTGAATCTCGCCTGCCAAAAACATTTGCTAAATCCTCTGCAAATAATCTAAAACCACAGTATGTCTGAAAGTTGCCTTAATGTGTATGATCTTTTATTTTTTTTTTGCTTTTCTTTTATGTCTATGTTTTCTAACATTTGTGGTTACATGTGTCTACAGATGCCGCAGAAAAATGGCGGCCAGGCAGTGAACTGTTCCTATCCTTCTGACCAAAGAGGCCTTCAGGGTGTCTTTCCCAACTCAGCTGATTGTGGCCATGGCGGCTCAGCCAAGGCTGAAAACCCGAATATCCAACCAAAGGTAAACATTAAGTCAACAACAAGAGCATTTGCAGTGTTGTCGTGTCGGTGTTGTGTACTTCATCTGAATCACCTCACATTCACGTAACCGTTTTTCTCTTCTCTATTAATTTGTGTTCTGTCTCTGACTCTGTACAGTTGTCTTTTGTTATGAGGTTCATTGTCACTCTCGTCATAGCTCCGTTTTCATCACACATTCCTTCACATGTTGGTGACTTTTCCTTTACAAGAACACAACGCCAACCCTTTTCTCAAATGTTTAATGTGATGAGATTATTCAGTCCAGAGGCCCTGATAGTTCTGTTTGCTTTTTTAAATCTGCAATACACTCACATTTGGTAAGCTCCCCTATTCTAATTGGTGGGCTAATGTCACTTTTCACCTATTTCTCATATAGATGTCAGTAGCGCCCTCTCCTCGGCATGTTGGCCAAAAGTGCCAGGTCTCTCCCCCTGCCTTCAGTAGCTCAGATTCAGATGCATCTGACTTAAGACAGCCCCCATGCTATGAGGATGCAGTCAAACAGGTAAACTCAAATCCATGCTAAAATTCAGTAGATAATGGCTGGCCAGAGATTTTATTTTACCTATCGGCGTTGCTCTAATTTCACTTTTCCTCCTGTTTTTTTGTCTCTTTAAGTCCATCGCCTGTACTGCTCCTCTTTTATTCATCCATTTGCTTTGTTCACTGCACTAACTTTCCACCCTTTACCAAGTCTGAAGCAGATTGGTGTTTTAGTTGTACAAACATTTTTTGAAGGCAGATGTAACTCAGAAAGGTTTTTCAGTTGGAGAGATAGCTAGTAGAGTCCAACCAAGTTTGTCCAACAGAAGGCACGAACAAGTTTATTTTTCAACTGTAGATTGGTCGGCTCAGTATGGTCACAGTTCTTTAGAAAAAAAAGCTAATTTTAGGACTTTTTTTTAAATTTTTTAATATTGGCCAATTTATTGTAATTGGATTTTCAAAACTGTCAAATACCGGTCTCACAAATCCAGTATGTGTCGGGCTATAATAGCTACAAGGAGAAGAGCAGCCTTTTTCTGTCAGAATATATTGAATATAAATGGAAGGTGCTATTTTGATCATGACACTGAGGATGTTGCAGACACAGTGAGCTGGCCAACTAGCTCAGCTAAACACTATATCAGTTTGACAATGCAAAATAACCAAGATAACTAGCTTGCTAGCTAACTTAGACAAGCTAACGTTGAAAATGTCTCTTCACCCAAGAAGAAAACAAGTCACCCCCCTGTAATCTTATCTGGCTGTGCTAGTTTGGGTAGATAAGATGTTATTTGTTTTATTTGTACAGGTATGGTATGGTACAGGGGCGTTTTTGGTTATGAGGGGTTGTGCCACCCAGCATTGGACAGTTTTTGACCAACAAAAGGCTACAACTTGCTACAACCGTGCAAGCACTTCCTGGCAGTACCTGATTGGACAAATGCTTTGTACTCCCAGATCTGGAAGCTTCCTCTTATATTATGGAAGTCAACAAACTGTGTTTCGACAAGAAATAAACAATGTAGTCCCTGAGTCTTCATTATAAATCAACAACGGTTCGTTGATCTAACTGCTTACATAGACGATGAATAGGAAGTGTGAAAATTCCTGGTCCTGTGGACACCTACCAAGAGACTGTCTCTTCCCGAATACTATAGATGTAAACAGTTTGTAGTGTTCACAGCTAAAAAATTACATTTACATTTTTTTTCCTTATGAAGCCTACAAAAGTATGTTGTAGAATTAATATTAGTCTGTTTGTAATACCTTTACTGCCTCACTTGAGTGACGAGCTAACGTTTCCATGAGGCCGTTTTATTTTACAGCGTGAGCAAACATTTTCATTTTGCATAAGCTTAGAGAGAGAGCCTAGTTCACTGAACAGAGCATGCAATGTGTACGGCAGTGCCAGTGACGGTTCCAGTAGTTCACATTGAAACTGTTCACATCCCGGTGCTACAAGTACTTGGACCCATATTAACTCTCTCTAGCCTTTTGTTGGCCTTCAGTTAGAAAAGCTAGTTAAAGAGTTTGATCTCAAACAATAAACTTGTCTGTCTCCAAGAAAAGTTTGTATTAACAAAACTCTATTCTGCAAGTCTGCGTAGACTGCTTGAAAGCTTGCATATTTTCCATGTAAAATCCTTGAATATACTTAGATTTTTCATTGTTGAAACATTGTTCAACTGATAAAAAGAATCACCTTCTTATTACTGTTCCAGCAACTGACCAGAAGTCAGCAGATGGACGAACTTTTGGATGTGCTCATAGAGAGTGGAGGTAAGGTGAAATTTCACTCTAATAACGTTAGCTTAGCTAGCACTGTGCATGTATATTCAGGATGGTTTAGAATCTATTCGTAATGACCAAGTGCATTGGTTTCAAATGGCAGTCTTGCCCCACACAGTGGTATCAGATCCCAGTACCTGCTGTGACCCTCCCTCCTCTCCTCTTTCTCTTCAAGAGATGCCAGCTAACGCCAGAGAAGAGAGGGAGAGGTCCTCTGTAACCAAAGTTGTGCCTCACATTACTGTGTCCCCAGGGTGTCCCGGCCTCCTCATCCCGAGGTTCCACAGACACTACGAACACCTGTCCCCCACCCAGCTTCCTTACGACCACTCGGCCAATCACATCACTGAGAGCCACCTGGAGACTCTGCTGGGAAGTCCAATTGGCCGGGGAGGGGAGGTGGCCCTTCTTAAAATGGCTGCTGAGGACGGGGGGCAGGAAGATGAAGGGAACAGGGACGGCGAAGGGTACGGCAGCCCCCACAACCACCACCGCCACCCTCATCGTCCCCAACAGGACAAACTTCTGACCAACAGGGATCTGATGGACACCCCTCTGTCACCCATCAGCACCAAAGTGTCCGCCGTCCCCGAGGTGCAGGGGATGGTCAGCATGACTTTCAGCGAGACGCCGTGGGAGACGATGGAGTGGCTGGACCTGACGCCACCCAGCTTGGCTACGGCCTTCAGCGTTGCTCCGCCCAGTGGGCCCAGCATCTTTAACACAGAGTTCCTGGATGTCACAGACATTAACTTGAACTCGGCCATGGACCTCCACCTGGAGCACTGGTGAAAGCAGCACCGGCACCAAAGTCGGCCGTCAAACACGACACCAGCTTCCAAGTAGCTGTACGGACCGCTGATCAGCTTCGACCATACCAAAGAACTGTTCTACCTGAACTTCAGTCCAAGTGCCAGAACTTGTTTCTTGTTCTAATAATACAGAGGGAAGTAGACCATTAGCCTACATCCAAAGATCGATGACAAAGTCAACTACAGAATTATATTTTGACTTATTTTCTCCACTTGAGGTTCTCTTGTTGTCAAAATACCTAAAATCCAAAGACTATGTGCTGTTTGACATGATCTTTGTCCATTTTGGACAATGATGCGCACAACTGCCAAATAAGTATGACAGTGGACACATGAAGGATTTTCTAGAAAATGGAAATAAAAGATTACAGTGCTTTATGCCAACACTTTATGCAATATCAGTGTTACACCACTTAGACTTGAAGACACATTTTGACAATCATTGTATATTTTCTGAGTTTATGTTTTTATTACTGGAAAAAAACGAAAGGAATTACAAGCTGAATTGGATTGCTTAGTACGGCCATTTTGTAAATATCTTAACTATCTGTACTGACAGAGACAAGTTGACGTCTGCATATTTTGTCAGTGGTGTGGGAGACGACACAAACCACAAATCAAGTGTATTATGTAATCAGTTCATCAATTGATGTAAATATGACAAAAAAAATATCTCACTGTGCACCTCTAGCTAAATACACATTTGTCACAGTTTGCTTGAGCTTAGAATATGTGTGTAGAAATGGTTTTCATTCCTTTGAAGGACCTTTTTTTATACAAGTTTCTTTACACTATTTGGCGTATTTATCCACAGAATGACATTAATGTCTGAAAAACCTTTGGTCTTACCGGTTTTAATCGGCAGACAAACTGTGCCTTATTTGCAACAGCTTTTTATTAAAAATATTTTATACCAGTTTCCCCTTTATAATGTTTTAATAATTTGCTATCCCCTGAAACCAGATATTATCATAGAAAGCAAAACCAGACAAATGTTGAAAATGAAAAATACAACTTCATCTCTATTTTATCTTAAGTAGTTTTTTGTTCTGACAAATTTTCACCCTTTCTATTCCCAGGCCAATCACAGTTATTTATTGTTTTTTTTTATATTTATACTTTATCCTGTATTTATACTGACATTCCTTTCTAAAAGATTGGGGCTCTTTGATTTATCGGAAAACTCCAGTGCCGCCATTATGACCACGGACATTTCTTAGTAAATCTCTTAAAAATGTGACACAAAGTGAAGGAACCACTTCGAAAAGCCATGCTTTCTTAAACACTTTTCTATAAAGAATCATATGAAGTGGAAATGTCCGTAATTAGCACTTGTGAATAGGAAAATGTAATATATTCAGATCTTTACTGTGAATACTGCATATTAACACAGCAAAGCCAGAGCCGGCCTATACACACAGTAGATGCACTAATGAGAGAATTTCTCAAAAACACCTTTAAGTTTTTAGTTTCGGTCAGCAGTCTGTTTTTCAAACGTGAAAACTTACAGTAGTTAGATGAGAGGATTGACACCACTGTCACATCTATACGCTAAATATAAGGCTACAGCCAGCAGTCTGTTAGCTTCATTTACATAAAGACTGGAAACAGAGTTTTAATTAGCCTGAGTCAGCAGTTATTAGCTAGTTTGTTGTCTCCTGGCTCCAGCTTCATATTTACCCGACACATGTAAAGTGGAGTCGATCTTCTCATCGAGCTAACTCTCAGCAAGAAAGCTAATCCCAAACTGTCAGATTATAGCTTTAGAAGTGTTTGCCAATTCCTTTCTTGCATTTACAGTTATGTTCTCAGTAAACATGGGTTTCACTTTGTGTTCTGGTTAGACCAAATATTGCTTTTTCCTGTTACTTATGAAGTGTTGCACTTGTTAAATGGATTCTATGGTTACTTGTAGGCTATTAATGCCCATCTTGACTATATGACAAAGCTGATATTCTTTACTTCATGCCTTCTGTCGAAAGAGTATCTACTGGCCTTTTTTATCTTGTGGGGTTTTCTCAAGAAAAGAAAATCACATCTGACAGAAGCTTCCATGTTGCTTGGCCACCGACTTGCTTTGCTATTGTAAAAAAAAAAATTAAAAAAACAGTATTTGCCTGCATCCCTGTATACTACAGAAAGACGAGCAATAAACTTATCACAGCAAAATCATTTCCGCAGTTACTTTTTTATTCATGTCCAATTCACAAGAAGCACACAATACAGGGTTTTAATCTTTTCAATGGGAACTTTATTTGTAACCGTTGATAAAGATACAATATTCATCGCCCTTAATATTATTTTATAATCTAATATGAACATTCTAGTAAATTGCAATTTATACAACATGTACCCTGGAGATTCATATTCACCAGTGGTAAATTAGCTTCCTGGAAATGATTCCCATGAGAGAAGAACAGATCTGGAGACTGCAGTGAAACGACTCCGTCTGTTGGGTCACATGAGTCTGTGGGCTCTCTCCGGGGTTTGCACCATTTTGCATTACAGATAGAAATGGAAACAACAGAGCTGACACAATTCTCCATTTGAACTGTAGAGAGAATCATGTCTGGTCTACACTGCATCTCCACCAACTTGGTTGTAATGTTTTACCCCCTTCCGAATAAGTATTCAACAAGTCTGTCCCCAAACTCCACCACGCATCCCAATGATGGTGGCCATTTTCCAACATGGCTGACATCTGTAGAGGCCCATTTCATGGAATTGTAAATAAAACATAAAAGGGGCACTCCAGCGAATTTTACACACAAATATGTCACCAATCATCAGGAGTACTATTCAGTCATAAAATGTCCTCTGTGGCTCTGGAACAGCTTTGTCAAGTCTAAGAAAACAACCTAATGATTTCATAAGGGTTATTCTTTTTGGTTTTGGAGCCTTCCCCATATGACTGACTAAAAGTCTGGATATCTTGGCCTCTGCTGCATCCATTTAGACTTCTTTGTTTTTAATCAGTCTCTTGCAAGACTCCCAATGTTATGAAAGTATAATACTAAAATCGCTGGAGTGACCCTTTAAGTAAGACAATTCCTTTAATGCAATGAAACTAAATGTAATAAAGCATACAGTGGGAAAAAAAGCCAAATATACAATCAAAACTTGAAATGTGACAATGTCAGTCAGTGCTGAAAACAGTCTAAAGATTTCCACATTAAGCTATGAGAGTTAACAATAGTAATACTCTGACACATAAAATACCATCCTTGAATCATGTGACAGTCAACAGTTGACTTAGATTATTGCATACTCTTGGCTTATTATCGTATACGCTATGTTACATTCAGTTACTTTACATTATTAGTATTTGCTAGGTTAAAGGATAAGACGGGCACTATTCAACACAATATTAATGAGATTTGTTGAGAAAAAAGAAAAATATAAATAAGGCCATCCTTATCCTTTAAGGCAATTTGTTACATTACAAGTCTCTACAGTGTCCCAGTCTTAAAGGACCACCATCCATACAGACAGTTTGGTTAAGTAGCTAACTCCGAGTTGTGTGGTTTGTCCACCAACTACCGCCTGGTAGACGTGGCTTTCTGTGAGGGAATGACGGCGAATGGATCTCAATAGTCTCAAGTTGCGGCCTCCACTTCACCTGCCTGGTGTGGTAATCGGTATCATATCACAGGCGTGGGAACGCGTTTAAGACTAGAGATGCATCCCGAGTGTAACACATGGTTTGGCATGGGAAACATTCTATCATCAGTGCAAGCCAGAGACATGCCGAGTAACGGAGGAACATGCTGAGTCCATGGTGACCGTAAGGGTCAAAGAGCAGTAACTGTAAGGAAGGATGATCCTCCTCTCCTGACAGTTGTGTGGTTGGTACATTATGTCATTTAGCAGCATTGACGGGTGTCCTTTTTCTCGACAGGAAACCCTTGCCAGGACTTTGAACAATGTAGTTACTACTGTTTGCCTCTGTGTGGCGGCATGGTGCACCTGTGATCAGTGTGGATGAGCGGTTGAACTGTACAGTGCTATGACAGGCAGCGGAGGAGCATCAGGGCTCATTCTCAAACTGAAACGTACAGACACATTTTCTGCTCACAGTTTGATTTGTTTTTCTCTGTTTAGGAATGAGCCGTAACGGTGGAGCAGGCCCTGCCAGGAACAGCAGATTAGATGTACTATATACATACACATTTACATCGGTGGACGTGATGTCCTAAAGTAACTTCACATCAGGCAATGTAGCATTTAATTAGCCTCAGTTTGTGCATATTACGTATTGACGTCTGAGTCACAGAGCTAAACTAATCTGTTTTTCTGGATAAATCACAGATAACCTCCAAAAAAACCCAGAGGATCATTTAACAACATTTGCTATAGATCAAATGGTTTTCTTAGAATATTCAAAGACTCTTTTGTCCGCCTGGATTCTAAAATATTCTGTCCATAAAATAAAGATTTTTAACCCGCTTCCCAATTTGCAACTTTATTTCCTAATCCAAAGAAAGATGCAAATGATAGCCAGAAATAACATACCTCTGTGCTTTATTTTGTACAACATAAAGCAACATTCAATTGTTTTACTATCAGACACACTGTATATGTAATGTTAGTTTTATGCTGTACAAAATTGTTGATACGTCATTTCTGGTTTCAATTCTGGTTGGGTGCCACAGCTAGCAAAACATCCAGATTAACTCAACGCTAACAAATCTTTTACTGAAACCATTTCTCTCTCCTTCCTCTTTTATATTAGCAAAGAGTAATACAGAAAACATTTAGGTAGTAAGCTTTTTCATTTTTAGCTGTGCTCATCCTCATTCTGGCTGGTTAAGACTACAAACACCACCAGCAACAGATTCATTTAGCTCTAGCTACTTAATGCTAATTAAAGTCAACAGTTTGGCTTATATCTGGTTAATGCGCTTTCAGCTAGAGTCTGTACTAAGCCAAATACCTTGCTTTCTGTTTTTTTAAGACATTTTTGGGGCTTTTGTGCCTTTATTTTGATAGAACAGATGACGAGAGACAGGGAAGGGGGGGCTTGGAATGGAACCTGCTCAGCCTACATGGGGCGTGCAGCCCTACCTTGCTTTCTCAGCCAACAAATGATCTTTGAGTTAGTTTACTTATTTACACCTTTAGTTACTTGCAAATACTGAAAGCAAAACATTATCAGAACATTCAAAAAGATTCCATTTTGATACAATGCTAACAATCCTTAACCCTACATTTCCAAAAACAATTATTTTTTTGGATTAGGAAACAGTGTGCTGGGAAACACTCTCTTTTTACTGTGCAGTACACAAAATATAGTTTGATCCAGATAGATAGAGGAGGCTTAAAGCGATTCTGCAAATACCAAAAAACTGCCATCAGCCTTGTTAGATGATATCATGGTCTTTCCGTGACTCCAATGTAAGTGTACAAACTGGGGCCAACGTTGAATGTGAGAAATGTATATGTCCTAATAATGTGTCAAGACAAACTCTCATATTGCATATTGGGGGGAAAAAGTAAAGCCACGCTACCGAATCCATGAGCTTTCCAGAGAGAAAACACTTTTTGCATACTCAGTCATTTACCATGAGTGACGGTGCCCACAACAAACTGCTTGAAAAGAGTGTGTGTGTGTGTGTGTGTGTGTGTGTGTTTAGACAGTAGGTCTATCTGCATACATCTGTACATGTCAACATTTCAGAGGTGAACACACATATGCATACATACAGTCCACAATGTACAATCCAATATGTGGCTATTTTTGTTCATACATCATGAGTGTCACTGTTCAACATTTTATTTGGTAGATTCTGTATTTGTGTACGAGTTCAAGTATATATATACCATATATGTATACTCTATTTCTTTTACCTCACATAAAAAGATGCATTGCATTTAACTAAGACAATGTTATGTCTTCAAGTTTTTCTGGGTGAAAATGGGTGATAATATTTTTGATTTCACCGACTTTAAAATGAGGTGATGGGAGGTGGAAGGGTTTAACAATATCATCTCATTGCACCGGGCAATTTGGACTTAGTTCCCTTGTTCTTTGGAACGCATGAATAAACAAGTGATCCTACGTTAACTCTGAGGGCTAAGATGTCAAGCGTTGCATCACAAAGCTTAGTGTCCCACCCACTGCATGTTGGGGGATCTCGCCACCCCCCGCCCTCCC